AGTCAGCAAGTAGTGATGACAGTGATGATGGTAATGACACTGTCTCAGCTGAAGTTTGGGGATACAATTGATAAGCATTTTGTGCACATATACCATGGGCTATTGTTGTTTTAAAATAATGAAAATCCCAGCTGCTCTACTTGACCAAGAGTCAGATGCTGGGGTGAAAACCTGCTAGCTCAGAGAGGCAGAGAAAGCACCCAGCTGACCTTCCTTCTCAGCTCAGGTCCGGATGGAAAAAACCCAAAAGGCTCACTAGCTCAGCTGACAGCCCAGGGAGAAAAGGCCCAAAATATCAAGGAAAAGGGTTGCTACCTCAAAGTCCAAAACTTCTAAAAAAGCCAGAGACCTAAAGCTTAAGCCCAAGCAAAGAGTTAAAGCCAAAAAGCTAATGCCACACTAAAGAACCAGCTCAAAAAGCCCTTTCTTCTCTTCCACAATGTCTTAAATACCCCTCAACTCAAAGTCCCTCCTACTCTTTAATCTGTCGGCTGGTTTCTTACTCTGGATTTAGAGTTAACTTGACCTAGGGTTAACTTTATTAAATCCTATGTTCAGAAAACTCTTGGATTAAAGGTGTGTTCCAGGGCTGGCTGACCTGTTTACAATAAACAGAAAGTTTTTGGATTAAAGGTGTGTGATGGGGGCCCAACCACACCAAACAATAAATAATGTTTTATAGTTCACAATTTTAGGGTTCACAATGGGATAAAATATCCTGCAACAGGCTATCATATTCAATATTTACAATAAAATGTTTCCTAAGGTAGGGACTTGTTAAGACCAATGAAATGATGATGCGTACAAGAGATTTTATATGGAAGAGGTTTATGAGATGGAGATGAATAGAGAGAAGGAGAAAGTGAGGCATGATAGTGGAAAGGGAGGGCAGTGCCCTGACAGAAAAAGGGAAGAGAGTAAGAGTAAGAGGGCAAGAGAGCGACATAGTGGTGGATTGATCCTTTTAAGGAGCAACTTAACCATGCCTGCCAGGTGTGACACCTGGTGGGTCACACATGATGACATCATAGGTTGCTAGGCAACCCAAAAGCAGGCTGCCCAAATACTAACAGAACTATTTTTACATCTTTGATATCTACAGATGAGAACTCTAAAGACTAGACTTTACAGGCTTCATATCAGGTGGCTAAGAACCAAAGACTGAGTTTCCCAGCTCATTCAGCTCCAAAGTGAAGTTCAGTTTCCCTAGTTATTGATGCACTGGACTGGGCAAAGTAAACATGGAGGCAAAAGGAAGCACTTGTTGTTAGGTGTCCTTTTTTTTTTTTTTTTTTTGAGACAGGGTTTCTCTGTGTAACAGCACTGGGTGTCCTGGAATTCACTTTGTAGACCAGGCTGGCCTTAAACTCACAGAGATCTTCCTGCCACTACCTCTCAAGTACTGGGAATAATGGCATACACCATCATACCTGGCTTGATAGGTGTCCTAATAAGAGAAGGATGATATTTTCTACAGGCGTTGGAGTTCAGATGGAAGATTCCAAAGAGGAGTTGAGAGGGACAGGGCAGATGGAAGATTCCAAAGAGGAGTTGAGAGGGACAGGGACAGTTTAGCAAATGGGTGCATCAGCAGTTTCAATTTGGAGATGAAAGAAACAATGCTATAAAAGAAAGAAGGAAGCTGGCTATGGTGGTGCACCCATTTAATCCCAGCACTCATGGAGCCAGAGGCAGGCAGATTTCTGTGAGTTTGAGGCTAGCCTGTACAAAGTAAGTCCAGGACAGCAAGGCTACATAGAAAACCCTGCCTTGGAAAACCAATAATAATAATAATAATAATAATAATAATAATAATAATAATAATAGGATAAAAGAAGAAGGAAGGAAGGTATAATGTGCAGTATCAAAGCTTATAATGCTTAAACAAGGCAGTGTGTGTGGAGGGGTGAGTGACTTGTCCAGTGGACAAGTAGAGCAGGGTCTACCTGAAAGAGGGAGTGGGAATGATCAGGTCAGAGACTGGAAGAATGGAGTCAAGACAGGTTTCTGATCAAGGCTCTTTTATTAGACACTCAAACAGCTTTTTTTAAAGCAAAAAACCACAAGCAACTTTCTCATGGCAACTGCCCATTTGCTTTACTTTGCAAAACACCCAAGGGTTCACTAGGTTTATTATCTAATTCTCAGGAGCAGAGCACCTTGCTGGATAAACAGCCAAAGTCAGTCTCTGAGAAACTGAACTTTAGATTAAGCCAACATCTCCCAAGGCCAAGAGGCAAAATTCCATCACCAGACTCCTTCAGGTGAGGGTGGGAGGAAGTGAGAAAGCTTGAGAGATGGCTAAGCCATTAAGAGCTTGGGCTGCTCTTCCAGAGGACTTGGGTTGGATTCCCTGGACGCAGGTCACAGTTTATAACTAGTAATTCCACTTCCTGGATATCTGACACCTTCTGGCTCCTACAGGAACTGGGCAGCATGTGGTCTACATGTACATGCAGGCAAAACCCCTATGCTTTAAAGAACAAAACCAAACAAAAACAAAAACAGTGAGGGAGGCAAAGCAATGGGTGCAAACCAGACTCCACAGCAGGAGGCTGGGGTCTGGTTTCCCCAGCAGCAGGGAGCTGAAGGAGACTCTCCTCAACAAATCCACAAGGGCCAAGACCCTAGAAACACAGCTGCAGTAGATGGGGAGAACACATTTAACAAAGTTCTGTTCTCTGTGCTCAAGTTGATGGATTAAGTACAGGGACCAACTCAGGCCTGGTGGTGCACATCTTTAACCCCAGCACCCAGGCACTAGAGGCATGAGGCTCCTAGAGCTTAAGGCCAGCCTGGTCTACAACAGCCAGGGTTACACAGAGAGAACCTATCTAAAACCAAACCAAAACAAAACAACAAGAACAAACAAACAAACAAACAAAACACAGGAATGAAGTGTTCATCAACTGCCGCAAGAATCTTGAGCCCCAAAGGCTTCTTATAAGTAATGCAACAAATTGCTGCAGAATGTGAAGATGGGGATTGATGCCCCCAAGAGCAGCCCCACAAAAGCAGCAAGAGCAAAACGTCCAGGTTGGTCAACAAAGATTCTCCATGTCTCCACCATCTTCCTGTGGAACTTTGTCATTAGGGTCTTGGGCAAGGGCTTATGACTACCAAGTAGGGCCCTCTTCCCACAAGAGAAGACTGCCCTGCGAGATGGGAAAAAAACCCTGTTTTTGTTTTGTACAAAGCTGATCTTCTCTGTATCGTTCCAATTTTAGTATATGTGCTGCCAAAGCAAGCACTTGTACAAAGCTAAATCAATGGAACAATCCTCCAAAAGATGGAAGGTGCTAAGTGTGTTTAGTACAAACATTTTTTTTGACCTTGTTTCTGACTTTGGATGTGTACAACAAAGTCTGATTATTAGCAAGGGTTTTAATTTTGTTTCTACATTTATTTAGTGTGCAAGTGCATATCAAAGTTAGAGGACAAATTGTGGGAATCTGTGCTCTTCTGCCATGTGGGTCCTTGGGGGTTGAATTCAGGTCCTCAGCATTTTTACCTCTTTAACCATCTGCTGGCCCTATTTTAATTTTTTCAGTTGAGTTACACATCATACCTTGAAGAATCTGAGCACATCAGACTCCATTTTGGTAACTAGACTCCATCTTGTAATTGACTTAGCTCTGACCCCCAGAACCTGAGAAATGTGTTTGTACTTGCAGGAAACCATAACATTCCAGAAGACACAGTGCGCCCACCCTGACACCAGTCAGTCAGGAAACAGGTCGAAATGACGGTTGTCCTTGTGGTTTCTAAAACAATTACATGTTTTCCTTGTGGTTACTAAAATAGTTATTCCAACTTGCCTTTAGCCAATTATTATATAACAAACCTACTGTTGCTAAATCTCACCCAATCATGTAACTGCCAAGTCTGGAAGCCCCTTCCCCTTTCTAAAAACCCTATAAAAATCAGCTTCTTTCTAGGCTAGGGGCTCCTGGCCTCTGACTGCTGTGTCAGTTCATGGTGGGAGTCTGAGTTTAAGCCCGAAATAAAGGCTCTTTGCTTTTGCAGACGATTTCTGACTCCTGGTGTGGTCCGTGGTCTTTTGGGGTCTCGCGAACTAGGTACAACAACCTCACCTAGATTACTGTGATTCAGCATTACATTTTTCTGGTCTCCCTTTTAAAAACACGGTTTCAGGTAGCTCAGGTTAGCCATGAACTCTCTTAATAGCCAAGGTTGATTGATCTCTTGCCTCAGTTTCTTAAATGCTAAAAGTATTGGATTACAGCTGTGAACTATCTTGTACTGCTAGTTAAATCTTTTAATTCTTTACATCGCAAAATACAATTTACCACGAATACAAATAACCCTGGATGCTGCTATAGTTTGACATTTCCTCATTGCATGTGTATATATATTTTAATGCATTTAAAACATTTTTATTTTATTTTTTAAATTTTATTTTATTTTTTTTCACAATTTATTCATTATATATCCCGATTGAAGCCTCCTCCCTCAGCCCTTCCCAGTTCCACCCTCTCTCTCCCTTTCCCCCTATCTCCTTCCTGGAGTACACCAAAAGGAGAATTCTCCTCCTCTGCCATCTGCCCATAGTTTATCAAGTCTCATCAGGACTTGCCTGGATCCTCTTCCTCTGTAGCCTAGCAAGGCCACATCGCCAGTGACAAGTGATCAAAGAGCAGGCAATCGAGTTCATGGCAGAGACAGCCCTTGCTCCCCTCACTTGGAGGCCCACATGGAGACTGAGCTGCCAATAGGCTACATCTGAGCAGGGTCTAGGTTTTCTCCATGCATGGTCCTCCGTTGGTGCATCAGTCTCTGCAGGACTCGCCTGGATTCAGGTTTTTTAGCTTCGTTGGTCTTGTGGGCCTCTGGTCCCCTCTGTGTCCTTCTATCCCCCTCCTTCCACAAGACTCCTTGCACTCTGCCCAAAGTTTGGCTGTGAGTTGGGGGTTGGATTTAGATTGTGAGTTGAGGGGGCGGGGTGGAAGCGGGGCTAGGACTTCCTTCAGTTCCGGAACCGCTTGATGGCGCAGAGGACAAGGGGAGGTGCTAAAGCGGCCAGAAGGCACGGAAGAGCTCCGGAGGCAGCTTCGGTGAGCAAGCCACGGTGTCTGGCTGACTAGCTGCCCGAGGAAACCCCCTCCCTTCCGTTTTGGTCCCGTCTTGGTGACTGCGTCAAGTGGGCGACAAAGCTCTTCATTTGTGAGTCTGCGTCAGCTCAGAGCTTGCTGTTGAATAGGAGACGGCTGCGACATGGCGGAGCTGGGATCTACTGCGTTTCCAGAGAAACTGAGGTAAAGCGCAGCTGGAAATCCCTGAGTTGGGGTGACCAGGACCAGTATTAATCTGCTCATGGCCAGAATCCCTGGCTCTCCCCGGCAGTCGTGGGTTCAGGGAGGCAGGAGGGGAGCGGATAGAGGTTTGGAAGAAGTCGGGGATGGGAGGACGGAGTGACTGCCAAGAGGCCTGATTTCAGCGTGGGAAGCCCGCCCGCTGCCTCCGCTTCCTAGCGCTGCCCTTGGTGGACTGGGAGCGGAGGGTGCAGAGCCCCTGTGTGCAGCCGCCCATGCCGAGTGTGTCCTTTTTAATCTTCCAGCCATAAGAAGTACAGGGCTCTCCTGAAGAAAGAGAAACGGAAGAAACGGCGGCAGGAGCTCGCTCGATTGAGAGATGCAGGTAGTAGAGGCTTTCTCTGTTCTGGGTATGAAATTGCTCCTTTTACTCCTGACCGACCCCTCCTCCTCCCCGATATGGGCCTCAAACAGGCCCAGGCTTTAATTTCCCCTAATGTAGCCAAGGAGGACTCTGAACTTCTGATCCTCCTGCCTCTCTCTAAGCAGTGTTGGGGTTTATAGGAGTGCAGCCACCATGCCAGGTAGCTTTTGATTATTTCATGCATGCTAGGCAAACACTCTTACCAACTGAGCTACATTCCCAGCCCATTCGACTGCTCCCTCTATTTTCAGTCCAAACTTGAGGTTTTGTAAAGCTTTCATCTGTGCAGCTAGCCACCGTGTCATTTGGCTTGCCCATGAAAGGACCCGATATTTATGTGTTAGATTTATAAAAGTTTAAAAAGACGTTTATAAAATGATCAAGTAAATGACATTTATAGAATGATAAATGCAGGCAAGAGGGTTGAAATCACACAGCAGTACTAGGTTAAGATGGCTGCCAGTCATCATACCACAGAGACTGTGCTTAGACTTGAGAACTAGTCCAGGAGAGACAGAATGTAACATCAGGTTGAAAAGGAAAATAATGGTAAACTGTTGTTATTGATGACAAAGATCCTTTGCCTTTAAGGCTGAAGATGATCTGTTAAAATTTCTTAAGCTCACTTCATTTGTCTTCTCCCACGTGTCTCTGTCACTGCTTTCTTTTAACACCTTCAAATTTAATTTGGAATAGAAGATGTAAAGCTTTATTCTATTAAAACTATTTTACCATGTTTTTCTTTTGAAAATATTACAATGTACACAAAGTTAAAAAAATAGGATGCAAAAATATTTATGACTGCTTCATACAAATTTGCCAGATTGTTAAATATTTGCAAGCACTCCTTTTCTCTCTCCCTCCCTCCTTTCTTTTCTCCCTCCTTTCCTTTTCTCCCCTTTCTGTTTTTTCTGAAACCTTTGCACAGCCATGTTATGTGTATTGTTATTACACTGGTTCACTCGGTGGTGTGGTGGAGCACACCTTTGATTCCAGTACTGGGGAAGCAGAGGCAGGTGGATCTCTGCGTTCAAGGCCAGTCTAGACTCCACAGAGAGCTCCAGGACAGCTAGGGCTACAGAGAGAAACCTTGTCTTGAAAAACCAAAATAAATTAAAAAAAAAACAAAAAAAAAACAAAACAGTGGCTGGTCATCCAGAGGGTGCAGGTTCCATTCCCAGCACCCATGTTGTAGCTTACAACTACTATTCTTTTTAAGACATTTTAATTTTTTTGAGATGGGATCTATAGCCTTGGCTGTCCTAGGATTTACTGTATAGACCAGGCTGTTCTCAAATTCAGAGATCCATTTTTTTCTGCCTCCTGAGTTCTGGGATCAAAGGCTTGAACTACTACCCATTATTTTAGTTTTTCTTTTTTAACCTTAATCGTAAAGATTAAAGATTTATATATTTTTCATGAATAATTGACCAAGGATTGTGAGACTTAATTTAATAAACATTTGTATTTCTACAGAATTGCCACAGAAAGAGGAGGAGGAAGATACTGTTACTGAAGAAAAACAATTAGAGGAAGAAAGGCAGAGGGAGGAAGAGAGGTCAGTACTAACTGAAACACTTATTATCCATCTTTACCAAGTAGTAAAGGCATTTTGCATAAAATCTTATAAAAAATAGGTCTTGGAAAATAACCTTTTATAAATGAAATTTCTAGCTGACAGGCTAAAATTAGATTTTTTTTTCTTTCTCTCTCTTTCTCTTTCTTTTTTGAGAAGTCCAGGCTGGTCTCTAACTTAAGAGCTCCTGTCTTAACCTTCCAAATGCTGGAATTGCTGGCATGTGCCACCATACCTATTTTTGTTGTTTTTTGGTGTTTTATTGCTTTTGCTAATTGGTAAATAAACATGTATATTTACTGTTGACATAAAGACCTAATTCTAATGACACTATAGTATATGTTGTATGGATGTAGCATAATTCTTTATTCACAATTTATAGTCCTCTGTAGTTCATCAGAGTGGGGAATGTATTCCTGCTGTAATAACAGGAATGAGAAGCAGCTGCTCCAATTGCCTCTTTAGTCAGGGAGTGAGTGCTCAGCTTCCTTTTTCCCTTTCCCCTTATTATTCAGCCAGGAACCCCAGTCCACAAGGTGGGTTCATTTAGGGTAAGAAAAGTCCTCTCTCCTCGGTTAATACTCCTGGAAACTTCCTCAACAGACATGCCCAGAGTTAGTGTTTCCTAGGTGATTCCAAATCTGGTCAAATTGACAATGAAGATTTTAGATGAGAAGCTTGTGCTATTGGATGTCTAGGACTTATCGATTTAAGGTAATATTACATGTGTGTGTGGGGGGGTTGTTGTTTGTACGTTGTTATTTTGGGGTAGGGTTTTGCTTTGTAGGCTCAAATTAGCCTAAAACTTGTAGTACTATCTCAGCTTTCCAAATGGTAGGCATGTACCACCTGGGTATTCTGTGTATTTAAGAAAAAAACAAAAACAAAAAAACAACCCTGCCATCTTTCTCTGTAGCCTTTCAGTTTCTATTCCATCGAGTCAGGGGATTCCTGTGATTTGCCTTCAAACACTGAAACTGCTGGGAGAAAGTCATGTTGTGAGTTGTGGGTATGTCTTTAAAACAAATGTTTTAGGGATGCTGGAAAGAAGGCTCATTGAATCTGAACACTTATTTTGCTGTTTCAGATAATCCAGGTTTGTTTCTCAGCATCCACTTGGCGACTCACAGTTGTCTGTAACTCCCATTCCATTCCTCTTTTGGCCTCTTCTGGCCATCAGGCACGCACATGATACCCATGTGTATGTGCCGGCAGGTATTCATTCACATACAAATAAAATAAAAGTTTTTTTTAAAAAAGATGGAAAGAAGTTATAAAATTATATTAGTAAATGTACATTCAGCCAGGTGTGGCCCATGACTTTAATCACAGCACTGTGGAGGCAAAGGCAGGTGAATCTCTGAATTTCAGGAGAGCAGGGCGTATAGAGTGAGTTTTAGGAATGCCAGGGGTACACAGAGAAACCCTGTCTCAAAAAACCAAAAGAAGAGGACATGGAGGAAGTAGTGATGTTGGTGGGAAAAGAATGTTTATATTAGGAAGGATAATGCTTTGTGAATGTGAAAATTCACTTAGCTGTTGCTTTGAAATGTTTGCATGAGATGAAAATTAGTGTTAGGTCTAAAGAAAAGATGTCACAGCCACAAATGCTTATGAAAGCTAGAAGTAGTAATTGTAGCTGTTCAGGAAGATAGTTGCTTTTCCAAAAGCCGTACTCACAGTTTCACTGCTTTATAGAAAATATCTACATTTTCATTTTGTATTTTGCTTCCCTGTCTTTCATATGTTCTAGGTCAATTCCTTTTTGTTTTTACTGACTACATCATTATATTAACAGGCAAAGATTACATGAAGAATGGCTACTGAGAGAAGAGAAGGCACAAGAAGAATTCAGGGCAAAGAAGAAAAAAGAAGAGGCAGCTCGAAAGCGGAAAGAAGAACAAGAGGTAGGACATTAAATAGCCAGTTCATTGAACAAGTGCTTAACTGAAGTAAGTTTCATTAAGAGCTATTTTTCAGGAGAGATGATGGCTCAGAAATTAAGAGCCATCTTCTAAATGACTTGGATTTGATTCCCAGCACCCTCATGGTGGCTCACAACCATCAGTAACTCCAGTCTAGGTAGTCTGATGCCTTCTTCTGGCCTTCAAGGCACCAGACATATTTTTGGTACACACACATATATGCAGGCAAAATAGCAGTGCACATCAAGTACATTAAATGTAAATAATAATAATAATAATAATAATAATAATAATAATAATAATAATAATACCAGAGTTGTTTGTTATGGGGCTGGAGAGATGGCTCAGTGGTTAAGAGCACTTGCTCCTCTTCCAGAGGACCTGGGTTCTGTTCCCAGCACCCGCATATGAATTCTGAGGGATTCCACACTCTTTTTTGGCATCTGCATGTATCTTTTACATATGTGTACATATATTCACAGGGACTTTTAACCACCAATAGAATTCTCTTTTAAAAAGAGTTGTTTTTCTTGTTGGGGATATAGTTCAGTTACAGAGCTTTTGCCAGGCATGTATAATAAGGCCTTGCATTATATAAACAAAAAGAGCTACAAATGTTAAGATTAAAACAAAACAAAACAAAAAAACTCTGATTATTGTCTCTTTTTCCAATGATCCATGTTTCTAAAGCATTTTAAATATTTACTGTGTAGGTTATATATTTTTAAGAGTGAGTAAAAAAATACTTTTTCTTTTTCCTTTAAAGAGAAAATTAAAGGCAGAATGGGAAGAACAGCAGAGAAGAGAGCAAGAGGAAGAGGAGCAGAAACAACAGGAGAAGAGAGAAAGAGAGGTGACTTCTGTCATAGGAGGATAGAGCCCTGCGTATCTTCTTAGTATGCACGTGTGCATGTAAAAGGTTTGCGGAGTCAGCAGTGGGCATGTCAGGGCTTGTGTTTGATTTTATTTTTTGCTCGTGTTCTGTTCATTTGGAAGAAATCAGTTTTTGTTAGAAATATGATAGACTAGTTTCCATATGGTTCTCTTCTTTGGGTCGTGCAATGGCAGATAGCTTTGCAAGGTACCTTACCTTCTATAAATAAGATGGGTAAACATCTTCCTTAAGGGGCAGATAATATTTTAGGATGTGATGTCTGTATGGCTTTTGTGGACATCCATCTCTGCCAGTGTACCCTAAAGCAGACATAGATGGTATGTATATGAATGGATGTGTCTGTGTTCTAGCAAAAAAATTCTGTAAACCAGGCAGCTGGCCCTGCTTTATACTCTGTACCACTCTGTAGCAAGTGTTACTTTTCTATGGTTCTGTTGTATATGTGTTGAGTTCTTCACAGAAGAATAGCATCGTAAAGTTTCCATGCTTAATTCATAAGTGATAAGAGCTAATGACATCTCAGCAAGAGTTAGTTTAACAGACATTAAGGAATTAAATAGTTTTGTTATTAAATCCTGGTGTCCTATCTAACTTCATTGTCAGAGCAAATGCCAGTCATTTAAGAAATTCTAGGGAACCTTCTCTTTGAGAAACTTGTGCCCACTCTAGGACAAATGCTACTCTCCTTTTCTTATATGTCTCTCTCTGTCTCTTAATGCTTATGCTTAAATCTGTATTAAAACCTTTCCTTAATAATCCTCACCATTGCTTTAAAAAAGAAATTCTGTAATGTATATGTATATTTCCTGTACATTTTCTGGGATTATTTTTAAAGGATTGCTTTGTTTTGCTGCTGGTCCTCAATGGTGTATATATTTCAAATATAACATACACAGCTCATCTTGCCTTGACTGATTACTGAGGATATTCTTTTTTTTTTTTCCTTTAGCATCGCTAAATTTGAATGGCATGACATTCCATAGTCAATAATCTTATAATGAGGAGAGATGTAAGTGTTGACATTCTAGTCATGGAAGGTGCCAGCAGTCTCTGCAATCAGTTTTGTGTGTCAGGCGGCAGCTCCAATGCAGGTTCCCCCCCCCCCCCCCCTTTTTTGAGCACTGCCTTGTAGCTGAGGCAATATCTAGATGTGGGTGTTAGGGGCACAAAAATTGTCTGGATTGTCATGCTTCTCGTTGATGAATCAATTTCTGTTTTAATAGTAGAATACTCTTTAACTTTTAGGGACCAGGCAAAAGCTAAGGCTTCTTCTAAAAGCTTTTGTTTTAAAGGGAGTCTGCTTAGGACGAAGTGAGTAAAATGAAATCCATCCTAAGCATATATAAAGGAATATGAGATATATGTTTCTTTTATGTGCTTGGCTTCTCACTAGTGGACAGAGACAAAGCAGTGAAAAGCACACAGCCTCAGCTCTCCCTGAGTGACTTTTCTGGATGATAGGGGCAGAGATTAAGTCAACAAAAACAGATCAGACAATAAGATAAAGTTAAATTCCATGAAGAGATGAAGGAGAACTGTTTGATAGAATAATGGGGATCAGGATACTTATTTGGATTACCTGGCCAAGGAAATCTCCGAAAAAATAATGTTTGAGATAATTAGCATCTAAGTGTAGCAATATTGGGAGGAAAGGACCTGGTGGTACCTGACACTTAGAGAGCACAAGAGCATGGGAGAAAGTAGGGAGGATCAGAAGGGGCAGAGCATAATTGAAAATAGGTTCCTGTCTTATACAATACATCCTGACCAGTTTCTCCTTTGTCCACTCCTCCAAACTAACCCCTACATCCCCTTTCTCTCAGATCCACTCCCCCTCCATTTCCTCCTCAGAAAAGAACAGGCTCACAGCCAAACAGAACAAAATAAGGTATATTAAAACAAGGTGAAAGCCTTCATATCGAGGTTGGACAAGGCAACCCATCAGGAGAAAAAGAGTCTCAAGAGCAGGCAAAAGAGTCAGATACTGTTAGGAGTCCCACAAGAATACAGCCATAACATATAACAGAGGACATGGTGCAGATCCATGCAGGCTCCATGCTTGCTGGTTCAGTCTGTGAGCCCAGGTTGTGGTGGTGCACGCTGGTAGGATTTTCTGAAGGAGGTGGAGTCAGGAGGATTTAGCTTTAAGGTCTCTTAGCTTTAAAGAGTTTGGTTTTATTTACCATACTCTAATGTGAATATTTAAACAAGGAATGACTTCATCTTGTTAGTAATGTTATCACCAACAAAGCATCCTAATTTTCTAAGAAGAACAGGAGCCAGAGAGGAAATTGGATGAACAATTGCCATGTAGGTGATAATAGTGGTTTGGATGAAGGCAGACCTTCAAACAGATAAGCAACACAGTTAACAGGACTCTATCTGGCAAACTGTATGAGATGAAGAAAGAAAGGGGACTTGCAGTCATGTTTTTAGGTGTTTGGGTTTTTTTTGTTTGTTTTAAAACAATGGGAAAATGGCAGCACCAGGTACTGAAGCTATTTAGGTTGGGTGATGGGGTATATGGAGAAGATCAAGAGTCCTGTTTGGGCCATGGGATATAGCTTAATGGTAAAAGTGAAACCTTGAGTTTGATCTCCAACTCCCAAACAAAACCAAATCCAAAAGAACCTGTTTTGATCACATTAAGACTTTTTTTTTTTTTTTTGGTTTGGTTTCGTTTTTGTTTTTATCGAGACAGAGTCTTTCTGTGTAACAGCCCTGGCTGTCCTGGAACTCTGTCTATAGACCAGGCTGTCCTCAAACTCACAGAGATCTGCCTGCTTCTGTTTCCCAAGTGCTGGGATTAAAGGCATTTGCCACCTTGCCTGGCTGTTAAAATGACTTTTAAGTTGCCGGGACCAGGCAGACTTACCAAGTAAGCAGGTAATAGTCATATGTCTGGTTTTCAGGCGTTAAGGAACCTAACTTTGTATGTGTTTAAAACAAATTAGTTGAAGACCTATGGCTATCTTGTTGGACTTCCTGTATCTTACTGAAGGTTTGAAATTTCTCCTAAATACTAACTACTACTCATCATGTCACGTTTTTGCTTCTGTTAAATGTTTGTGATATTTAACCTAACTTTAAAATAAAAAGTAGTCATTAGTATCTCAAAAGCTAGAACATGGTATTTTTGTACAAATTATGTTACTAAAGCTATTATGACTTAAATATTTACAATGTGTTCTATTCAAATTTTGTATTTGAATAAAAATTCTAAGCTATATATCCTTGGGAAGCTGTTTTAGAAGATATATGCTTAGAAAGGAAATCAGAATCAGAAGCCTTTTGTATATGTGTTCATGTGTGTGTTGTCATGTATGAGGTTCATAACTAGAAAAACCAGACGTGACTTACCTGACATCCTGGTTTTCATTAGTCCTATGTTTGCACCACTTATAGGAAGCCGTGCAGAAGATGCTGGATCAGGCTGAAAATGAGGTATTTCCAAAACCTTTCATTAAGACTTTGAGATAGATAGAGGTAGCTTGTTGCAGTCATCCTAGCCCTGGGGAGGCTGGAGCAGGAGAATGAGCACAAGTCTGAGGCCAGCCTAAGCTGCCTTTGCCTTAAAAAGATTTTGAGATCATTTGATATTTCAATAGAAATAATAGTTCAAATAATATGGTTTTTGTGGTAGGTGATTTTGATTATTTCAGAATCTTGGAATCACTTTTGTAACCCTTCAGTTCTATAACTACAGACAATAATTGATGGTGGCATTAAATCACCCCATGGGCTATGCTTGTAGCAAGTCTTTAAAATGTGTGTTAGTGACATCACACACTACTGGCCCCAAATGGTTGGTTGACCACCTTGATTCAGAGTAAATTGTACTTCTTTCTGCTGGCTCCCAACATCCATGGCCCCTTTTCAGAATAGATGGATAGAAAGAAGACCTTCGTGACTGCATCTGGTAACACTAAGTGACCCCTAATCAAGGAAAATGACTGGGAGCCAAGAGAAAATACAACTCATGTTTCCAAACAATTGCCTATTAGCTTTTGATTCTGTATTGTAATTTAACTATGCATGTCTATATATGAAAATGGTTTTGTTCTGATTAAAATATTTGACTATTTGGAGAAACAGTCTTTCATGAGCTTTGACATCACCAGTAAAGTCATGGTTATTTTTAACAGTTGGAAACTGTTGGCACCTGGCAGAACCCAGAACCGCCCACGGATATAAGAGTACTGGAGAAAGATCGAGCCAATTGTCCATTCTACAGTAAAACAGGAGCTTGCAGATTTGGAGATAGGTAATGGTTTTTGCTTTGTGTCAGAATGAAATGATAGAGAGTATTGGGGTTTTGGAAGAGGCATAGGCCTCAGTCTAAAATGTTCACCATCAGTTATTTGGTGTTCCCTTGCCCTGCTCACCAAATGGCTTAACTGAATGGATCCTTTGCATTCATTCCATAGCCTTAGGAAGACCTTTGTTTTTTTTTTTTTTTCAAATTGAAGGTATATTTTTTCATATAATATATTCTGATCATGGTTTTCCTTCTCCAAACTCCTCCTAGACCCTCCCTACCCACCAGAATCTTTACCCTTTCTTTCTCTTTCTCATTAGAAAACAAACAGGCTTTTACAAAAACTAAAATCAAAACAGACCAGAATGGGACAAAACAAAGAAACAAACCAAAAAAAAAAAAAAAAAAAAAAAACAAAAAAACAAAAAACCCACATACAGATATAGATGTAGACACACACACATTCTCACACACAGAAATCCCATAAACACAAAATCAGAAACCATACTATATGAGCAAAAGACCTGTAAGGTTAAAAGAAAAGTGCCCAAAGTATTGTGAGACAGAAAAGCAAGAACAACAATAACAGCAACAAAAAAGAAACCCAAACAGCCTCCCAAAATACCATTGAGTTTGTTTTGTTTTGGCCATCTACTGCTGGGTATGGGTCTGCCCTTAAGTGTGGTTTGTATTCCCAGTGAGACTTAAGGAAAACCATTTGCTTCTTGGTTTGTTCCATGCTCACACCACAACAGGAGGACAACTTGGATGGGGGAAATTACATGGTAGAAGTGATTAGAATAGCCAGAAGTATCTTTCCCAGGGCAAACCTGTGCTCTAAGTAATCTTTTCCAATTTGGCATGGGTATAGGGACCTTTATGAAAGACAGTATTGTAGCAATGAGAGGAATAGGCTCTTAATTCACTGTTGTCAGTCAGTATGTTCAGACTTAGGAAGAGAGCCCTTAGGTTTTTGTGGCCAGTAGGAAAATGTACTTAAACTCTCTAATATCTTAATTCCTTCATCTGTAAAACTTAACATGAAACATAATCCCACATTTTTGAGGAGACTTCAAGGTTGAGGAGAACATGGAGAACACATTGGGCTGGCTGCATGGCTCATGAATTTTATCACTTTTATTCTTCATTTATATTGTTACTGTTGCCATTTTTTGATATGTCTTTCTGCCCTCTTACCTTTTTTTTTTTCTTTTTAAAGATACATGAAAACAGCATTGCTGTTTTCAGTCATTTAGCAAATAATTGAAACCTACTGTATGCCAGGTATTGATGACGTTTTACAGTATGACTGTGTATAAGTCAAAATAAGCAAATACTTCCTAACAGTAAGCGAATCTGACCAAGGCAGTCTCATTACTATTTACTCATTCTGTAGACAAGAAGGTATCATCTGAATCTTTGTTTTTCTCTTTCTCTTTTCTTTTTGTTTGAGACCTTACTGTGTAGCAGGCTTGGAACTCATAGAGATCCATCTCCCTTTGCCTCCTGAATGCTGAGAGTAAAAGTATATGCCACCATACCCAGTAATCATTTGCTTTCTTGAGACAGTCTCATGGAGCCCCGGCTGGATATGAACTCAATGTATCCCAGGCTAGTTTTGGACTACTGATCCTCCTGCCAACCCCTCACAGCTGCTGAGATTACAGTTGTGTGCCACCATGCCCAGCTTAGTTTTTATTTTTTTCAAGAATAGTTTTAGGTTGGAAAGATGACCTGGCAGTTAAGAGCATGTGCTCCTTTCCTGAGGACCTGAGTTCAGTTCCCAGCCTCCATATCAGGCAGCTCTAGGAGAACTGACACTGTTCTCTTACTTCTGCAAGCACCTGTACTGATGCATACCTGACCGCACACATACACAAGTACATGTAATTAAGAATGAAATCTTTTTAAAAATTTAAAGAGAATAGTAGTTCTCAACCCTGGGTTCATAATAGATTCAGGTAAAAAAGGAAAAGGCTAAACAAAATCATGACTCATCTCACATTGAGCAAATCAGAACTGTAGCTACTAGAGTCATTCCAATTTGAGGTGCTTTCAGCTACCTCTGATGTGCCCTGGTATTGATGTATAATACGTAACACCTTATGGATTTGATGGCTGAAATTGTAGATGACCAGAATATCTGTGAAAGGACTCAGAATCTGGTAAGGTAATAGAAAGGCTTCTTACAAGGAACTGGGGAACTGAAGGAAGGAGGCTACCTTTCCTTTGGTATGTTTAGTGTTGAATGACTATTAGTATTTAATATTGATTTATATTTTAGTACAGTAGTGGTTACTCCTGAACCAGCTATATACCCAAATAACCACACAGAGAGACTAGAATTTATTTAATTAGCCTAGGACACAATGTTGTACAATAGTTATTCCACCCTAAACCTCCAAAGTAGTATAGCTCCCTCCCATTTAGATTTCCACATTATATTTGCTTTTTAATCATATCCAAGATCCAGTTCATCTCTCCTGATGTTTCCCAGTCCTCTCCTCAGGGCTGCAACCTCTACTTCCTTTCCTTTCTCCTCCCCTAACCAGACCAGGATGTCCCACCTTATTCCCTATTGCTCAGCATTGACTAGGTGGCTTTTCTTGTCAATACAGAGAACAAATGGTAGCATGCTTACAGAAACTTGAGGCAGGTGATGCTTAGAATATACATCACAATGCAGTGTCCAGACTGAAAACAGATAGTGGGGTAGGGAATGAACAAGGGTAAACTGTACACAGTCCACAAGAACATTATGCCAACACCTTAGAAACATTTTTCTAAAGAAAATTTAATCTCAAGAAGAAATGGTAAAACATGATTTGCTTAAGAGCCAGTGAGATGGCTCAGTGGGTAAAGGTGCCGACTGCAAATCTTGGTGACATGAATTCCATCCCTGGATCTACACGGTGAAAAGGAGATAACAGACTCATACTAGTGGTCCTCTGACTTTCACACTTACGCCGTGACATGGGAGATCCACATACAGATAACCTTCCAGAGCTAAATGAACCACAATTTTAGTTCACAATTGCATGGGTAATTGAACCAAGCCACCTTTAAGGTTTTCCAGCTGCTCCTATTTATGAGTTGTCTCTAACACTTCCTTGAAATTTAATACCTGAGGAAGCTAGATTCAGGATTCTCTTGTTGGATATTGAGAGAAGGCTGGGTATATGAAACAGTTTTATGAATTTTGGAAAGTTTCTTGTGGAAAAGGGAGTGGCCTGTCAGGTCTCAGAATCCATTGGTCAATTGTAGTCAAATTTCTTACCATTGTCATAGGCATATGAGACTTTACAATCACAATCAAAGTGTAACAACTTGGCTATTTGCATTGTTCAAGTAATGAGTTGTGGCATAACATTGCATGGACTTAGTGGTTTTGAAACCCAAAGCTGTCTTTTCGGAAAAAATACACTCTTCTGTTTCCTTTTTGTGAGAAGGCCAGCTCACTTACTCCAAATAACACAGCTAGGTCATCTATGTTAAGGCTGGTCGGATGCCAGAGAAACACTTCCATTGCTCATTTATGCTGTTTTTTTCCTCTCTCTTCTCTAAGAGAAACACTTTAGTTGTGTACTTGTGCTCTTTCTCTCTGTGTGTGTTTCTCTCTACTTTAGGTCTTAGTCTATATCCAGGCTGAACTGGAACTTGTCATCTTCCTGTCTCTCTCTCCTGAGTAGCCAGGATTATAGACATGTAAATACCATGCCAGACAGAGAAACACTTCCTTAACCTAAGCATTTTTTTGGATGCTTGCTTTTGTTTGTTAAACTTTATGGAGATATAATATATATATATAATTTTTTTTCACAATTTCACACATGTCTATAATGTATTTTGATCATATTCACCTCCATTACACCTCCATTACACTCTTATCCTTCTCCCACTCTCTCTGGATCCCTTCTTCCCAATACATCCTCCTGTTTTAATGTATTTTCTTTTTTAAATAGCTGAGTTTAATTACTGTTGCTTGTATGTGCATGGGTATGAGGTTATTTACTGGATCATTGGCAACTTACCAGTGGTAACACCCCTGAAGTCCCCCATCTCTAGCAGCTGTTGGCTGCCAAGGGCAAGGCCTTTAGTACCTCCTCCCTATCCATGTTGATGGGCTTGATTGTATGCAGTTTTATGTCTTATGTTACTGTTCGATTGTTGTGAAGAGACACGACCAAGGCAACTCTTATAAAAGAAAGCACCTAATTGAAATTCTTGCAGTTTCAGAGGGTTAACTCCATTATCATCATGGTGGGTTGCAGACAGACCTGCTGCTGGAGCAGTAGCTGAGAGCTTTACATCCTGATCCAGAGGCCATAGGGAAGGGGAGGGGCTGATGTGAGCTTTTGAAACTTCAAAGCTTATCCCCAGTGACACACCTCCTGCAGCAAGGCCACACCTTGTAATCATTCCCTAAACAGTCTACCAACCAGGGACTAGACACACACATATATTAGCTTATGGGATCCATTCTCATTCAAACTACTACATCTTGCAAAGGTAACCATAGATGCTTTGAGTTCATGAATGGAATGGTCATCTTGTGTCCAGAAAACAGGGTTTCACAACATTCGTTTCCAACACCCAGCTCTTAACATTTTTTCAGTCCATCTGTGATGTTTCCTGGGCTTTGGAGTAGTTTAGAGCTGAGCATTCAATAGGCACTTATTCCCAACACTTTGGCCAGTTATTCACCACTGTCCGTTACAAAAAGAAGTTTCTCTGGCTAAGATTGAGAGCAACAGTAATTGGGCGCTAGGCTACAGAGACACCTTAATTACAACTTTGTTTTCACCATAGTCCTGAGTGGCCTAGACATCACTATGTAGACCAGGAAGGCCATTGTCCAGGCCAGGCCCATTTTACCCCTCTTGCCCCTGTAGTGCTCCCCACTTTTTAAATTTTCCTCCTGAGTTTTTCTTTCCCTTAAAAATCTTGTCTTACTGATTTTTAATTAGAACCCTAACCAGGGAAATTTTATTTAGGAGTTTGAACTGTATCGTCCTTCCCACCACTGTACTTCAGGAGAAAGGAGTAAATAAAAAAGTGAACTCATATATATGATTTTCCTAAAAACATTTAGTCTGGAATAGCATAGTCAGCTTAACCTTGGTCCACTTTAGACCATGAGAAGAAATTGTTTTCCGCAGTTATTATGTACCTTCAGTGAATAAGAAGTTATATTTATTATACCATATTATGACCACATGATTAACCCAAAGTTCTAGGGTCTGCCTCTTCTCAATCACATGACTTGGGAAGATATACTTATTTAGATTTTTTAGAGTTCAGCTGCCTTTGTATTTTGGATTCTATTTTTTGTTACTGTGTTAAAATACCCAGCAATTTAAAGGAGAAAGGATTTACTTGGATTACAGTTCCAGGGTTACAGTCTATCGTTGTTCAGGAAGCCAAGGTAGGAGGTGCTTGAAGCAGCTGGTTCTATCACTGTCAAAGTCAAGAACAGATTTGAATGCATGCGTGCCTCTGCTCAGTTTGACCTCTCCGTTTTATATAGCTCAAGATCTCCAGGATCTCCTGCTCAGGGAATAGTCCCATTCATAATTAAGGTGGGTTTTCCTACCTCAATTAAAGTACCAAGGCAATTAATTCCTGAAAGACATTCCCAAAGGATAACCTTGGTCTAGACAATCTCTCGTTAAGACTCCTTTCTCGGGTGAATCTAGATTCTGTCAAAATGACAGCACTAACCATCACACTTTGCAAAGTGAGGAAGTACCAGTACCATCGGCTCCATCAGGTTAGTAAGGATCAAAGTGGGAAAAATAAAAAGTTCATGAAACTTTCAAATGCCATACATAGATAAAATGACAATACTTGAGTAGCTAGAAAATTTTATATTACTCTATTGTCTCTTTAAAATAGAACTTGAAAATTTTCTCTCTGTCTATCTATTTTTGGGGTTCTGTCTGACCTTGTAACACTGGCTGGCCTGGAACTTGCTTTGTAGATAATGCAGGCCTAGAACTCACAGTGCATCTGCTTCCTGAGAGTCCACTGCCATGCCCAGCTTAAAAACTTAATTTTATTAATTCTTCTTCTTCTTCTTCTTGTGTGTATGTAGGAGAGGGAAGGGGGTGGTCAGGAGATCCAGGGATCAGATCCGGATCAAGAGGCTCCTGCAACAAGTGCTTTTACCCTCTGGGCCATCTCAGTGGTCCAGATTACTATAAATCCTTTGAAGTTTGTATAGAAGTGAAGTTATATAGCTATTTCTCACCTTTCTGAGTCTCATCACATGTAGCATCTTAGTCTTATCATTTTATTCTGGCACACGATTGGGCCTTTTCCTGATGGTTCAACATGGAGAAATCTTTCTGAATGTGTTCAAAGGCTACTGAATGGCATGTGACCTTGGAAACCATTCCAAATCCTGTATTTCAATGAGAAACCAGTTTTAGGACAGTTTCCTTGTATGCTGTAACTGGACATCTAAGCAGTGTTCAGTATCATACAGTTAAGTCTAAACAACCGTGTTACTTGAGTCTTGATCTCATAGGAGTTTATGGTAAGCTTGTAATGTATGATTTTTTAGTTATCGGACAAATGACTTTGCTTTTGTTTGTTCTGCAGGTGTTCACGTAAACACAACTTCCCCACATCCAGTCCCACCTTGCTGATTAAGAGCATGTTTACAACATTTGGAATGGAGCAGTGCAGGAGGGATGACTATGACCCTGACTCAAGCCTGGAGTACAGTGAAGAGGAGACCTACCAGCAGTTCCTAGACTTCTATCATGATGTCCTACCCGAGTTCAAGAACGTGGGGAAAGTGATTCAGTTTAAGGTGCGCACAGGCTGGGAAGGGGCCTGACACACCTCCTGAAACAGAGCATACAGGGGCAGAGCTAGGGCTCAGGCTGTTCACCTGGGTAGAGTCATGTGCCAGTATATGCGTGACCTGAGACTGAGCATGCTAGCACTTGGTAAACAGTACTTGATTCTCTTCCTTTTCACTCCCCACTCTGGGCACTGCCATGTAGCTGCCACAGGAAATCATAAGTAGGTGTTAGCATGTTTTCTGAATGCTGGAGCCTGAGTTGGAAAGTACTCTTATACAGTGCCTTTGTGCAACAGCTCTTCCCAGGAGTTTATCGGCAGGCCTGCTTTACCTAGCCATCTCAGCCTTCACTTAGCTGCTCCCTCTTTCAGTGCTTCACCCACAACCATGCCACTCAATTTCAATCACTGAGTAAGTGAAAAGTGACCCTTCATTCCAGGGACTCACTGAGTAGCTGCTAACATATAAGCATTCACCGTGTATCTGTGATTTGATCATATCTGAACCTGAATGACTTTGTTATATTAGGACAAGGGAAATATCCCTTATTTTGGAGAAAAGTAGGAATAAAGCTGTAGGGTTGTTTTATCTATCTATCTATCTATCTATCTATCTATCTATCTATCTATCTATCTATCTATTTTTGCTGTCAGAAGTGAAAGTATACAGTTAGAATAATTGAGCACCATGGATATTTAAGAAATATGAGATTACAATCTGCTTTCCAGATTTAAAGTACATTCTTTAGTGGTGGGACTTGATGGTGCAGGCCTTCATGGTGCAGGTGTAATCCCAGCACTCTGGGAGGCAGAGGCAGGTGGATCTCTGTGAGTTTGAGGCCTACAAAGGTCTACAAAGTGAGTCCAAGACAGCCAAGGCCACACAGAGAAACCCTGTCTCAAAAACAACAACAAAAGTAAAAGATAAAACACATTCTTTAAAATTTGTTTCCCAAAGAAGGGGAAATAGAACAAAGTGTTATAAAGAGATAGAGGAGAATCTAGAAAGGGGATTCAATGGGGAGGGATGTAAGCTCTTTCTAAAATTTTAAAATTTAAAGCTGGGTGGTGGTGGTGTACATCTTTCATGGCAGCACTCAGGAGACAGAGGCAGGCAGATATCAATGCTAGCTTGTCCTATAGAGTGAAGTCTAGGACAGCCAGGGTAACACAGATACCCTGCCTCATAAGACCATAAACATAAATAAACCCTGCATAAAAAAACCCCCAACAAATAAATAGACAAATTTTTAAATAAAAAAAGAAGTAAAAATTTGGTTTCCTCTTGGGCTGGCAAGATGACTCGGTGATTAAAGACACTTGCCACTAAGCCTGACAACTTGAATTCAGTTTCCAGGACCCTCATGGTGGAAGGAAAGAACTAACTCTTGCAAACTGTCCTCAGACCTGCATATACATACTGTGATGTGAGCATGACATGCACACACAAACAAATAAGTGTAAAACGAATTAAAGATTTTTCAAACTTTTTATTTTTGTGACATGTGCCTTTCCCTTGTCACTACTCAGAGCAAAGGATAAGCGCTGAAGTGTCAGCATGTAGTTACGTCTGCATTGTTCCACATGGAAGCAAGCACCAGCCAAGGAGGCGGTCTGGTTTGCCTCTCTGATGTCCCTTTACCTCTCTGTGCCTCTTCCTAATCTCAAGTGACACTGGCTTATATCAGTGTTTTCCCTCAGAGGGCCCGTGGATCCTGATGCTTCTTTGGAGTGGCAACAGTGAAACTGTTTTCAGAACTTTAGATTGGCAGCTTAGTCGTAGGGTGCTTTCCTAGCATGCAAAAATCCCTGGGTTCTATCCCCAGCATAGTAGGATAGGGATGAGGCTTTCAGGGAGGTTCGTGGAAGTTGCATTATTACCTGTAGCAGGTTGCTTCCATTCACCACAACATTTTTTTTTCTAGAAAGCAAATAGGATGATAAGGCTCATGCTAATCATATTGGCAGTTATTAAATGAAAAGCTCTTTTAATTTTTTTTTAATATTAGTTACCATTTATTAACTCTGTACCCCAGCTTTATCCCACTCCCTCATTCCCTCCCAATCCCACCCTCCCTCCCTCATCTCCTCCCTGCCCCTTTTCAAGTCCACTGATAGGGGAGGTCTTCCTCCCCTTTCATCTGAACCTGGTTTATCAGGTATCTTCAGATTGGCTGCAAAGTCCTCCTCTGTGGCCTAGCAGGGCTGCTTCTCCCTCAGGGGATGGGGAAGGTCAAAGAGCCAGCCACTGAGTTCCTGTCAGAAACAGTCCCTGTTTCCCTTACTAGAAGAACCCACTTGGATAGTGAGGTACCATGGGCTACACCCAAGCAGGGGTTCTAGGTTATATCCGTACATGGTCCTTGGTTGGAAAAACAGTCTAAGAAAAGACCCCTTGTGCCCAGATAATATTTGGTCCTTGTGGAACTCATGTCCTCTCCAGGTCATACTAACTCCCCCTTCTTTCATATGATTCCCTGCACTCTGCCGAAGTTCTCAGTATCTGTTTTGGCACACTGCTAGGTAGAGTCTTTCAGAGGCCCTCTCTGGTAGGCTCCTGTCCTGTTACTTGTTTTCTCCTACATCCAATGTCCATCCCATTTGTCTTTCTAACTGAGGATTGATCATCTTACCCCAGGTCCTCTTTCTTGTTTATCTTTTAGTATGTTTATCCTATCTTATGATTGAAAAGCTCTTTAGTAAATTTGTGGTACAGAAATTGTCAGAACATCAAATTCACTATGGAAAATCAGTAGTTCTTTGGAAACCATAGGACTAAATTATTATTGTCACTACGTAGTTCTGAGGATTGAACCTAGGGTCTTGTACATGCTGGGCAAAAGTGCTGCAATATTTTGTATTTTAAGGCAGCTCAGGCTGGCCTGGAACTTGTAGTAGTCCTCCTGCCTCAGCCTCCCTATTACCGGGATTTTAGACATGTGCCACCAATCCTGACTGTATTATATAATTTTAAAAGTCCCTACGCATGGTTGACATGGATTCCCAAGGCCCTTTAGTCTTCTTTCTAAAGATGGCATTACAGATTGAGTAAGATCCTATCTGCCTTTGGTTGTTCTAATAATAACACCCTGAGGCAAAACTGAATAGCTTCATTTTGAAGATAAAAGCTCAACACTAGTAGGAATATTTAAAGATCTTTTTACATGTCATTTTATACAAATCAAATTTGTCATTTTTGAAGGCAATGATCGATTCTTTAACCCTATTTATACTAGGAAAAACATATGAAAATGAGATATTATTCACACCTACATGGAATAAATTCTACTGTTTAGTTTTGTATTTTTTTCAAGACACGGTTTCTCTTTGTAGCCCTGGCTGTCCTGGACTCGATTTGTACACCAGGTTGGCCTGAAACTCACAGAGACCCACCTGCCTCTACCTAGGATTAAAGGCATGCACTACCACATCCGCCTAAATTCTACTACTATCAAGAATGAGTAGGAGAAATACATTCGTAAAGCTACTTCTGAGAGCAGTTTGTGCACAGCCTAGTAAAGTGGAATCCTATAAATGAGCATGCTTCTTCTGTTTATGCACACTAGAGAGAGCCTCACACCTACAGAGATGGCTTTGTGAATGGGAGATTGGAAGGATTGGGGATAGTCATGGGCAGATACAGAAATGTGATGGTTTATAGATATGTCTAGGATAGAGCAGTTGAGTCGTCAAGCTTGTATTAAAGCCTTGAAAAAGAATAAAGAATACCATCTATATAAAAACTTTAGAGCCAGGCATGTTGGCGTTCTCCTTTGATCCCAGTACTTAGGAGGTAGAGGCAGGTGGATCTGTGAGTTCGAGGCCAGCCTGGTCTGCATGGTAAGTTTCAGGATAGCCAGGATTATCTAGAGACCCTATCTCAGAAAAAAAGTATAAGAATTTTAAAAGTACAAAGTAATACTAGCAGGTGTACTCAGACTTTTGACATTGTGACATATGTCATTTACAGAGTTAATGCCTGAGAACTACAATCAAGTTTAAGAAAACAAAAACCAAAACAAAAACATCACCACCACCACCAAAAAAAAAAAAAAAAAAAAAAAATAGAAAAAAACTCAATATTTTAACTAAGTTTGTGATTTTTTTTTTATGTTTGGCCATATTCATAACTATCAACTCATGGCCCACAGGAGGCTATATGCTGGCTATATATCCAGATACACCAGAATCAGTATACATATTTTTGCTTTCAAGGGAAGAAGATTGTCTGTATATGTAATTGTTTTATATCCCATTTTGGTTAGTATATATTTATGAGTATGATGTATTTTCTGCCACATAATATATGTATGACTATATGTATACATGTGTCTACTAAAGTATACATATACATATATATTCAAAACAGATACACACACACACACACACACGCACAAAACAAGTGCTCTTAACTGCTGAGCCATCTCTCCAACCCCTGAATTCGATTTTTATGTATCTATGAAACATTTTATACATAACAGGTTTAAAAAACAGCGAAGATCGATAGAGATGAGGCAGTTGAGGTCTGCAAATGTTATTAGGTGCTTAGATATGCTTTGAATTGATAGGAAAATGTGCTGGCCTATCTTAGATGCTTTGAGGGAGTATTTGTCTGGACAAAATGCATTTGGTGGTTTGCTTCTTTTGAAAACTTTTTTTTTTTTTTTTTTGTGACGGCATTATTTGTTCCTTAGGTCAGCTGTAACTTGGAACCTCATCTGAGGGGCAATGTTTATGTTCAGTACCAGTCGTAAGTATTGTGAACATGCACTTGTCTTCATGTCTCATTGTAGTTATTGTATTGTTTCTTTGATGCCACTAAAAATGTAGCTTTCCTATGCATAATACTTTTCAAAATATCAATATGAAGAGCTCACCAAAAGGAAGGATTTGAAAAAAAAAAAACCAAACTTTTATTTCATTCTTTGTATACTTACAGGGTTTTGATTCTTTTATAATATGGTTATATATATGTTATAAATGTAAAATATATATTGAATAATCTTCATAATTAAAATACAAAGTGAAAAGGGCTAATTAGAATAGAGAGTAGAAAATACCAATCTAAGTTACAAGGAATTAAAGCTCCAAATGAGTATGCATTTGACCAGCTAGTATGTAGTCCTATATTATCCCTGTATGTACTGACATTTAAGAAGTGCTATGGCTAATGACTTCAATTAGCTATTGTACTAAGAATAGCAGTCCTAGCTGAGAAAGCATGGGTTCTAACAAGGGGAAACACTTTTGCATATTTAATTTTCAAATCTTGCAGATTAAGAAGCTTTAACTCTAGCCAATTTCCATGCAGCAAAACCTTTTAGAGGGTTGATAGGTCTCTGAATGAACTAGGCTGTGGGCACCTGAATGCTCTGGGGACTACGTAGGCAATCCAAAATTGAGCTTGGTAGTCCTCCAGTAAATGGACAAGAGGGCTAAATCAGAATAGGTTTGTTGTACTTATGAGAGTTACTATAAAGCATACCCTTTGATTTTTGCTTCCAAGGGAAGAAGACTGTCAAGCAGCTTTTTCTCTTTTTAATGGACGATGGTATGCAGGACGACAGCTTCAATGTGAATTCTGCCCAGTGACCCGGTGGAAAATGGCAATTTGTGGTAAAAGTCAATGTAGTGGCACCCTTTCCCCATTTCTACACTATACAAAGGGATCTTCGTAGGAAGAAAACTATTTTAAAGGGATGAAGCAGTTTTGTCTCATATTACAGAGTGGTTATGTAAAGGACATCACGGTTTAGATCTGTAACAGGCCTGTGAGTTACTATCTGGATGAAATGACTGATGTCACAATATATTGGTGACAGTATTGCGACTTGATTTTCAGTCTTAAGATCCTCATTCCTGGATTCTGTGTGACAATATTGTGTCTTAACTAAAGATACCCACATTATCCACGTTGCAGTTTCAAAGGTGTTTTCTCTAGACATTGGCTTTTCTCCTTGAGCTGTTTGTCTTGATCCCTAAGGAATCTTCCATCATCATCACCACATCATTACCAGTGGCTAACATTTCCCACATTATTTGAAGTCACACTGTTGTGCATTCGAGACCATTAGTAGGTGCGGATGAGTTAAGCTATATGTTGTATGCTCAGTTACACTGACTCATCTGAGGGCAGCAGACAAACCAGGAAATGATTCAGCACTGCAGAGAGTAACCAGCCACTTTGAAGGTCTCATCATTTTCTGATTTCTACAAGTGTGCTTAGTCAAGCCAGTATGAAGTTCCCCAGGTGAAGAGGCACAAAGCTCTTACACCCCAGGAGTATGCTTCTGCCTTCTTGTGTTTCTCTACTCTTCCTTCTCAGGTGCTTAAAACTTGCGTAAAAATACATATATAATTTATCAAACAAGTCTAAATCTTTAGCAGCCTTCTCTTAATGGATGTTGTCATTTAAAAAAACATATATGATGGGTGGGCATGGATGGTGCCACCTTTGGTTCTAAAACTTGTTGAGGGAGGCCAAGAGAGGAGGATTTTGAGCTTGGACTATATAATGAGACCTTTTCTTGAAATCAATCAATCGATTGATTAATTAATTTAAAAATTCTAAAAAAGATGGGGCTAGAGAGAAGGGAATCTCCCACTTTATTCTGACCTGCATGGGCACCAGCCATGTATATGGTATAAATACAGAAATGCAGGCAAAATACTCATACATAAAATAACTAAGCCTTAAGAATTTTTTTTATAATTTCCAAAATGAAGTTTTATTTGTCAAATCTCACCTCCTAATATACATATTTTTTATTTATTACAAGTTACTCTCTTTGTATCCCAGATGTAGCCCTTCCTCATACCCTCCCATGACCCTCCCCCAGTCCACTGATAGGGTAGGTCCTCCTCCCCTTCCATCTGACCCTAGCTTATCAGGTTTCATCTGGATTTGGTTGTATTGTCTTCCTCTGTGGCCTGGGAAGGCTGCTCTTCCCTCAGGGGGAGGTGATCAAAGAGCCAGTCACTGAGTTCATGTCAGAGGCAGTCCCTGTTCCCATTACTAGGGAACACACTTGTACACTGAGCTGCCATGGGCTAAATCTGAGCAGGGGTTCTAGGTTATCTCCATACATGGTCCTTGGTTGGAGTATCAGTCTTAGAAAAGACTCCTTTGCCCAGATTTTTTGGTTCTGTTGCTCTCCTTGTGGAGCTCCAAAGCCAGGTGGCGGTAGTGCATGCCTGTAATCCCAGCACTTGGGAGGCAGGGACAGGTGGATCTCATGAGTTTGAGAGATCAGCTTGGTCTATAGTTTCAGGATAGCCAGGGTTATACAGAGATACCCTGTCTCAAAAAGCCCAAAAGAAACATATAAGCAGGGAATTCTAAAATGAGAAAATGAGAACCACCATTACATACTAAGTTTTAGGTTTGGGCAGATGAACAAGATGGCAGTGTATTCTCTTTATAAGGCAGTTAGTTTTGCTAGTTCCTAGAGATGCAGTATAATACCTAGTAATAGTTTTGAGTATAACTTTGAAATCTCCAAACCAGTTTTATTTTATTAAAAATGAAATATAAACGGCTTTAATACATTTCTCAGTTACTAATAACTATTTTGTGTTCTTATTATTGACTTATGATTTATCTTCGAGAGATATCTTTGTAGGCAGTTGAGCATTTTTATTTGTTGCATCTTCTTATTAAACTATAGAAGTTCTTGATAGATTCTCTATACCTGTATCTGATCACAGAGGTCATCTGCAAATTCTCTCAGAATTTTACTTTTGGTACAAAAGTTTCCTTCCTTTCTTTTTTTTTCTTGGTGTGTGTGTGTGTGTGTGTGTGTGTGTGTGTGTGTGTGTGTGTGTG